GGAGAAAGTGGAGAGGAGAAAGAGAGGAGAAAGAGAAGAGGAGAAAGAGGAAAGGAGAAAGTGGAGAGGAGAAAGAGAGGAGAAAGAAGATAGGAGAAAGAGGAGAGGAGAAAGGAGAAAGAGGAGAAAGGAGAGGAGAAAGAGGAAAGGAGAAAGAGGAGAAAGTGGAGAGGAGAAAGAGAAGAGAAAGTGGAGAGGAGAAAGTGGAGAGGAGAAAGAGGAGATGAGAAAGCGGAAAGGAGAAAGAGGAGAGGAGAAGGAGGAGAGGAGAAAGAGGAAAGGAGAAAAAGGAGATGCTCAGCAGAGCTGGAGCATCCCTGAGTTCAGCTCGGAGCCCTGACCTGGCGTCACCTCGGCTGGCACTGCCGGGAAAGCCTCGCCAGGAATTCCTGTGGTTTCCCAGCCCCGGGGCTCCGCAGCGTTCCCCAAGGCAGCCGAGCCTGCAGGAATCCCCCTGAGCAGCAGCTGCGGCTGCTCCATCCCGCCCCGCACACGCTGATAACGAGCTGGGCGAGGCTCTTATCAGCATCCCGCTGACATCCCCGGCTCGGCGGTGAAGGCTGGGGCTGCCGCAGGCACCGGAGCCTCCCGGGACACACGGACGGATCAGGGCCCCGCCGGCTGCGGGGATGCTCGGCAATGGGACGGAGCCGGGGATGCAGGGATGAGCTGCGGGAGGGGGGTGACAGAGATAAGGATGTGGTTTTCATTTCAGCATCCCATCAAACGGGAGGGGGATGTTCCTGAGCCGGCAGGGCCCCAGATGTGGCTGGGAATGAGATCCCAGGGATGGCAAATCCCGGCTGGATTTGTCCCCTGAGCGTGGCACGGGTGTTTGTGCTGTGTGGAAAGAGGGGAAGGTTCCCCATTCCCTTCCCAGCTCCCTCAGGATTCCCCATTCCCTTCCCAACTCCCTCAGGATTCTTCATTCCCTTCCCAGCTCCCTCAGGATTCCCCATTCCCTTCCCAACTCCCTCAGGATTCTTCATTCCCTTCCCAGCTCCCTCAGGATTCTCCATCCCTTTTCCAGCTCCCTCAGGATTCTCCAGCCCCCTCAGCTCCCTCATCCTCTCCAGAACTCCAAATGAACCCAAACTGAGCTTCCATCAGGCACAAACCTCCTCAAACTCAATTTCATTTCACAAACAGCACCACGCTGCTCCCTTTGACCAATCCTTTGTCCCCAGGCCGGGTTGAGGACCAGGCCCAGCTTTGCTGGAGCTCTTGGACAGGCAGCCCTTGGAGCCAGGGCCTCTCCCGACCTTCCTGGAGCGCTCACATGTGCGGAGCAGAGCCAGAGCCTCGCCCGCTCCGAGTGCATCATGACCTCAGTTAAGCAAACACTTGCTGTAATCGCCTCCAGATCTGCCCTGGCTTTGATCAGCTGCAGGATCACTTTATCTTATGATATAAATATGTAAAACATCCATTTGTTTTCGGGCAGGATGCAAATAAATCATTGCGTAAGTTCAGGCCCGAGCGCGGAGTGAGGCCTTGGAGCTCCTCAGGCTCCACCTCCTGGAAGGTCGTTCCTGCAGGAACACAGCCTTTCTCCTCCCCATTCTCCTCCCCACTCTGCTTCATTCCAGGCCTTCCTGTCACTCATGGACAGCTCTGGGTGTTCCCAGCAGAGCGGTGACATCGGCGTGGACGTGGTGCCACTGCTGTCCCATGGAACAGCGACTCAAATCCCACCCAGTGATCCCAATCCCACCCAATGATCCCAGTCCCACTCAGTGACCCCAATCCCACCCAGTGATCCCCAGTGCTCCCAAACCAGCTTCACACTCCTGCTGGGATCATTCAGGAGGTCTGGTGGTCATCAGTGTGATGGTCATCACTCTGGTGGTCACCTCCCAGCCCTGCCACCCATTCCACGTTCAGCTCATCCCCTTTGCTGTTTCCACAGGAATCATTTATCAGGCAAAGAGGGTTTCTGTTTAACCCTCTGGCTCTTCTCCAGCCTTTGCCCAGAGTCT